AAAGATATAATATCAAAGATATATTCCATAACTAAATATATTCTTCAATATCTCAACACTCTCCCTCAAGTTTGAGAGTGTATGTAATCACATCAACTTGTTTTTACGAATGTAGGTCAATAACACCCGAGTTGTCTTTGAGAAGAGAGTGTAGGTCAATAACACTTTTGTCTTCCCAGTAATGAAAATATCAGTAAAAAATAGACCGCAATGATTGACTCGAGGATTAGTAACTTGTCCAATTTAATTTGATTTGGAACAAGTGAATATCCTCCATGATCACTTCTTGGTCCATGCATAAATGCTTTAGAAATAGACCGCAATGATTGACTCGAGGATTAGTAACTTGTCCCATTTAATTTGATTTGGAACAAGTGAATATTCTCCCTGATCACTTCTTGGTTCATGCATAAATGCTTTAGAAATAGACCGACATGATTGACTCGAGGATTAGTAACTTGTCCCATTTAATTTGATTTGGAACAAGTGAATATCCTCCCTGATCACTTCTTGGTTCATGCATAAATGCTTTAGAAATAGACCGCAATGATTGACTCGAGGATTAGTAACTTGTTCCATTTAATTTGATTTGGAACAAGTGAATATCCTCCCTGATCACTTCTTGGTCCATGCATAAATGATTTACAGGATAATAACACCAAGATCGGTGCTCTGGATCACTTGAGAGGCTGTGAAAGAGAATACGAACATCTTGAATATGTCACCTTTGAGCTTGGTGAAAAATTTGAAGATGCTTATAACGTATTCTTGATATTGGATGATTAACGACTGTAAAGGCTTCACTGATTGAGTTAAGGTTTGGGTTTAGGTTTAATACTCCGAGTCCAAGGGAGTATTAGGAATACCAAGATCGGTGCTCTGATATTAGGAATACTAAGATCGGTGCTTAGATATTAGGAATACTAAGATGGGTGCTCTGATACCATGTTAAGAATGAGAGATAGAAATAGAAATAGAATTGGGAAGATATATATTATCATTGATATTGATATCCTTTAAATAGGATACGTCCAAATGAGGAAAATATAAAATAATTAAATACTGAGAATAAAATAAAATATACTGTAAATTAAATCATAAATAAAAGATATAATATCGAAGATATATTCCATAGCTAAATATATTCTTCAATATCTCAACATCATGTCATAAAGTGAGGGTCACAACCTAGTTTATTTAGAGTTAGGTTGTGACACTAGGCCTAAAGGGGTGAATATTGAGATCCCATGTCGAATGGGGAGGAGAACGAAACAACTTTTGTAAGCGTGTAAAAACATTTTCGTAGTAAACACGTTTTAAAAATCTTAAAAAGAAATCTGAGAGTGAAAACCAAAGAGGACTTGAGGAGTGAATCTAACGCATATTATAGAAGCTAAAAATTCAAATCTCTTGTGAGTTCTTTTATCATTGGACATTGCTTCTTCTTGTAACATCACAAACAAAAATAAAAAACACAAATCACTTTGTCTTCTCCAAACTAAACAACGACAGCATTGAAGCTTGTGCGAGTCTCCTGCACGCGCTTTACATTATTTAGTATTCTTACTTTGACCATAAAACCGACCCTCCACACACAACTATATGGATATCTATTTTGATACACTTGCATGTATTAGTTTGTATGAATAAATATGTTTTATGTATACTAAGAATCACGCGCTTTAGTTGAGTCTTCTGCAATTGGTCCTGATTTCTCCTGTGCTCCCAGTCAAAGGCCCGAGATTTCCCATGTTAATCATTGACTGAGCGAAGGCGGTGAAGAATTGGCTCTGGCTGCTGGCGAAGCTGTTGACAATACTGATAGTTGGAGCTCCGCTGGTGGAGAACAGAACTTGGTCACTTTCCAGAAGCCCGCGATTGCTCTGAAGATTTGTGAAGTAGTTGCGGTCGAAGGTGTCCGGTGTGGTTGGGTCCAGATTCACGAATGTGTCTCGCCCTGGTTGACAGTTTTCGCGCAGCTGGTCCGCGTACGTCGAGTTCAGGGTCGGGTCCGGGTTTGAAGTGTTTAGCCGTCTGTCGAAAAATCGGCATCTCGAACGCCCAAATGTGTGTGCACCTGCGCATGCATGTACCAGGATTATTTATGATCGTGTGTCTATTTAATCTTTAAAACATTCAAGGTTGGAAGGCTGAGGATTGTTGGAATGAAGTCGTACATTGACTAATTGAGGAAATGATCATAGGTTAAGAAATATCACTCCATTCGTACGAGGCCTTTGGGAAAAGTCAGAAGTTGACAATATCATACCATTATGGAGAGTCGTAGTTCACAACATAGAATGAGTAAATAGTTTGAAATGATTACCTGATAGAGCAACGAGATCGGTAGTATCGTCAAGTTGAACATCCCTGAACTTTCTTCTAAGGACTGAGAGATCGTCAAAAGGACTTGGAAGCTCCATGGCACCATTCAAATTTGCTGTTCTTCCATCTCTTCTTCCTAATTGAGTCTCCCAACCCGGGCCTCCTGCCTGCAAAATGCGACGACATGGCTTAGCTTGTGTTAATTAATTAATGTAGTTCAAAATTGTGATGCACATAGTATTGGCGTTATTTTTGTTTATAATATAGTTAATATTGAAGTAGGTACCAAGTTGACGGAGTGTCGAGAAGCAAGGGCTAGTATATCAGCACAAGAGACGACCCCGGGACAAACATTCTCGATTGCAGCTTTGATGTCATTAACAATATTGAAACCTGTGATGCCATCATTTCCGTTTGCACCCAGCTCGCTCACTATGCCATCTTGATCTTCTAATAGCACCGACCCATCACATCCCTACAAAGACAATTATTTCATTTTAGAGTATTAGATAGGTTCAACTCTTTAACATATTAATCTAACGTAAGCTCTTGAGTCCATTAGTGATTTAACGACGTCGAAAAAGAAATGAAATAAACAGAGAGTCGAGCAACTTACATCAACGAAGCAGTCGTGGAAGTGGAGACGGATGAGCTTGGCACCAGCCCTGTCGTCACTTCGCAGTGCTTGCTCCACAACACCACGCACAATGCTTGATACATTGGGACATGTGGTATCGTAGAATGTGGAGCTCAGCTGTGCGCTCACAGACCCAACCATCAAACACACAACAAATAAGAAAGGCATGAAAGCTTTAAAAGATGCCATTACAATAGACGAAGTAGGAGAGGTTGAGGCGTTAAGTTAGAACAATTAGGTTAAGCCCTTAGCTGTCCTTTAGAGTTGTGAGGGAGTATAAACAGAGCCACATTCTTTTATAGACACGAAGAAGGTGGTGAGAAGGTAGTGGAGGCTGAGGCTATTACGTGCCACAGGACAATCAAACGTTGAAAATAAGCCACCCTTTGACTTTTCTTAACCATCTATCTCCATAAGAAATTTCAGATTTGGATTTCCCTTTGAATTTTCTTCCCGCAGGAACGATTCAATTTTGGAGATTCTAAGTTTTCTTAATAATTAGAACCAAAATTGTTTCTTGCTTCATCATAATCTCTTCCTTATTTTGTTTGTTTCACTTCTTCGTTTGGCACATAATCAAAAGTGATTAGCGGCTGTTGAATCCTCAAATAAAGCTTTGCTCTACATAATTGTTGGCGAGCTTAACTATAGAATGAAATAGACATTTTATTGGTTAACGTATCATTGATGGTTGAAGAAATGAAAACTTGTGTCTGAATGATTTGATTTTAGGGAGATTCTTATGTTATATTAAATGCTTCATTAAAGTTTAATGGTTGATTATTAAGATGCAGATTTACAATGGACGCAAGGGGTAATGTATTCCACTCTCATTTTACTATTTCTGCCTAATTAAACTTAGAAACAAAAAGTCTTTGGGGCTGTAACATCAAATCAGCAATGCCAGCTCAAACTACTTTGGAATTTTGTCCCAGTCAGATCATAAGAATAAAAATGATTAGATATGTCTCTTTCTCTCTCTCTATTGAGTTTGTAAAGGGATAATCTTTTTTTTCTACTTAGCCTTCTTCAAGTTTGTCGCTAAAATCAGATGTTTGTCCGTTTTGACTCATTTCGTATTTCAGCTAGTTTCATGATTTTAAAACGTGTTTTAGGAAGAAATTTTTCACACATTTATAAGAAATATTTTGTTCTCTTCTTCAATTGATGTGAGATTTCACAATCTACCTCCCTTAGCGGCCCAACGTCCTCATTCAAAACCTGGCTCTAATATCATTTGTAATAGTTTCAAGCCCACCGCTAATTGATATTGTCTGTTTTGACCTGTTGTGTATCCCCATCAACCTTACGGTTTTAGAACGTATCTACTAGGGAGGGTCCCTCTCTAATCGAAGATTTCACAGAGGTCTTAAAGTAGATTGCAAAATGATGGATGCCTAAGGAGTTGATAGTTGAAGGGAAGGTAGAAGAGTGAGTAGTCAGAGGTGGCGGCTGGATGGAGTGGTTCATGTTCTTCCATGGCTCTAAGCAAAGAGTCCCTTACAGTTTAGTTATACCCTACCATGTTGGTTTTAGGGAAATAGACAGCTGATTTTTCTTTACAAATTTAGACTCATTTGTTTTTAAAACTCTCATAACCGCTAATTTGGACCAAGAAATTGAAGTATCTTTCGAGTTTACATCAATAAGTTTTTATAGAATTGTAATCCACGTGATTGGTGAGCTAAACAGATAAATGTATGGGACCCCACTTCCTTCTATTATTGCTTTCTACATTTTTCTTCTTCCTCTATCAATGCATAATTAGGCTGAACATACTCGCAGAATATCCTAATATCAGATGAAAAAAAAAAAAAACTATTTAACTCAAGTATGACCCACCATCAAAATACGTCCAAACAAGTAAAATATTTACACTCTTATTACCGTTGGTCATTTAAGTTGGGAATTCATTCTAATAACGCTACTAACCATTCTCCTAAAATTAAGTATACTAAAGTCGAGTTTAATAGCTCACACTAATAACATTAATTAGATGAATAATTGAATTAGAAAAAGAAAAAAAAAATCATGTGGGTAATGTAAGGTAACGTAGAAAGACACTTGTATTGAACATTTATGGAAGAAAATTATAGAGAAATAATAATCCCATCTTTTTTTACGATGACAATTAATAAGACCACCACAAACTGGATATTCATATGTATATGCTCAGAAGCTGCGTAATGGAGGGCTTTCATTTCAGTTGAGTCTTCTGCAGTTGCACCTAATTTCTCCCTGCTCACCAGTTAAAGGGCTGATATTTCCCATGTTGATCATGGACTGCCCGAAGCTGTCGAAGAACTGCTGCTCGCTGCCGGCGAACATGTTGACGATGTCCACGGTGTCCTCGCCGGGAGTGGAGAACAGGACCTGGTCGCTGCCGAGAAGGCCGAAGTTGGACTGAAGGTTGGTGTAGTAGTTGTTGTCGAAGTCGTCGGGAGTGGTGGGGTCGAGGTTCAAGAACGTGTCTCTGCTGCTAGCGCAAGCTTGACGGAGCTGGGTTGCATATGAGGCGTCCAGTGTGTTGTCTGGGCTCGAAACGTTCAAACGTCTGTCGAAGAACCGACATCTCGAACGCCCGAATGTGTGGGCCCCTACCACGTCAAATATCCACACAAACATTATTATTATTATTATTATTATTACTATGGTCATCATCAGTCCCCAAGTAACATCCTTCACTGTGGCCGAAATGAGAAACAAGATATGGTATATATCATTGTCGTATCTCATTTTATAAGGTGAAAACAAAAGCAAATAATTAATAATAATTCCAGCCAATACGCATTATAGGATACAATTCAATCTAGATGATTTCAATTTCTTTGTTTGAGGATGGGTGGAAAATAAAACACACGAGTCACTTTCAATTGGAAAAAAGTAAGAATAAAATATCAGAAAAAGGAAGGAAAAGACGTGAAAATATCCGGAGTTGACGTAATGATTTTGAAAAACACTACACGACAATCCACAGCGCATGTTGAGGGAGCAATCAAATGCAGCCATGCACGTCGCTCCAACGGCGTCTTGTCTTAGAATATTTAAATGTAAATTGCATATATAAATGGTATAACTAGTGAAGAGAACTTTAATGCGATATTTATTTAGTTGAAAACGTCTAATAATATACTTAATTACCAGATAGAGCAACAAGATCAGTAGAATCAAGACCCACTCTGCCGAACTTTTCTTTAAGTTCTTGAACATTTTCGAAGGGAGTTGGAAGCCCGTCAATTGCGCCTTGTAAGTTGGCCCTTCGCCTGTCTCTTCGTCCCAGTTGAACCTCCCAAAAGGGTCCTCCCACCTGAACAAACATAACAACTATGAGATCTCACCACCATGTGGTGGTAGAGTTAAATGAAATGTTCTTTACCAAAAAAAAAAAAAATGTGAAAAGAGAGAAAAGATAAAAAAAAGATAGTACAACAATGTCTTAATTCATATGTTTGAGTCTGTTATTAAAATATTACATGCTTTTTGATACTTTTTTTTTGTAAAAATTGTTACCTATATTGTAGCAATTTAATAAAGATAAGATTTTAGTATAATTACCAAAGAAACCGAATGTACGGAAGCTAAGGCTAAGATGTCGGCACAAGAAACAACACCGGGACAAGCCTCCTCGAGGGCAGCTTTGATGTCATCAACAATGTTAAATCCTGTAATATTTGCATTTCCAGGAGCGCCAAGCTCACTCACTACTCCCGTTTGGTTCACTAGTAAAACTGATCCATCACACCCCTGAAAATTGTAACCAACCAACCTTCTAAATAAATCTTTCTAGCTCAATATCAATCTTTGTGGAGAAAGGAAGAAGATAGTGAATTAAAATGAAATTACATTCACGAAGCAGTCATGGAAGTGAAGGCGAATGAGTCTGGCGCCCGCTCGGTCGTCGGTCTCCAAAGCCTGCTGCACCACACCGCGCACAATGTCCGATACGTCGGGGCATGAGTCGTCATAGAACGTCGGGCACAGCTGAGCTTTAGAAGCTCCGACCATCAACCCCACAAACAAAAAAAAAGCAACTTTGAAGGAAACCATTCTTTTTCTCTGGGGATCTAAGCAGCTGTGAAGGTTTTGGTGAGTGATTGTGCATAAAGCACGTGCCTTTTATAGATCAAAAAAGGTCCTTTTTTTTTTTTTTTTAGGAAGGTTATGAATATGACAAGGTGGTGGTGGCTAAATCACCGGCGAGAGTTTACGTGGTAGGGGCGACGAGGTTGTGAGGAAAGAGAATATTGGGGGTTTTACTTTTCAAATTTGAGGGCATACTCAGCCAAGCTCTCTATCATGCAAATAATAGGACACGATACAATAATGGTGTAGTTAACAAATCGGACTTGAAGATGGCTGGACATCCAATTACATTTTAGACAAGTCTGAATAATTTTTTCTGTCTTTTTCTTATATATTTTATGGCCTCCTTTTTTTTAAAATACGTATTTATTTATCTCAATGCTTTTAGTTGTTTGGCATAAATATTTATTTTATGTCTAACTTTTTTCACTCATAAATTTTATTAATTATTTAACAAAAGAAATGAAAATGTTTTAGAATCAACCAACCCAATACTTTATGTACGTTCAAATATTATTCCACCCCAAGCATCTAATTGTGTTAGGGTAAATGAAACATAAAACATATTTATAATTTATTAAAATACTTGGCAATGAGAAAATAAATATTCCTAATACAATTCGAGCGCCATAATAAAATGTTTATGAATTTAGAGAAATTGATGTTTATGATTGACGGGGTCCCATTGTACAAAAAAGTCAAGAAATTATGATTGATTACTTTTCATGTTTATGGTTTAATAATCAGATATATTTACTAAGTGAGGTTTTTGTTGCAATTAGCAATTTGAATATAATTTTTCATTACGTGTCCAAATCAACATGACCAGCTCAACAGGCCATGCCTAGAATTATGATTGACGTGGCATTTGCATGTTTTTATAAAAGTAGCTATAATTTTAATTTGTTCCATTCCCTTAATTATATATTAATTTTGGTCGTTGAGTTTTAAACCTCTAAAATTCCAATACATCAAATTGATATTATTATTATTATTATTAATATATAAAAAAAAGTGGGTGGCTGCTGGGTGAGGTAAGGTTCTTGGAAGGCGGTTTTCGGGTTTGGGTCAGATTAGGAGGTACCTCAATCAGCTGCTTCTTGGATTTATAAAATAATTGTTCTTTTTTTGTTTCTTTCTAATACACAAAACTGATTAAGGATAAGGATCTGCAAATTTTCTTGGCTTGTAATTAATTGTATGTTTTTTTTTTCCACAATAAATTAAAACAAAGAATAAAATATCTTTTATATCTAAATTGGATCCCATGTGATTGGTGGGATCAGATTGCACTTTCATAACGATCCATCAAATCCCGTCTTCAATGCCCACAAGAAAAGGCTGCTGTCATTATGTCTCTTTGTGTTACCTGCCACTAACCATCAATTTATCATTAATAAACACTTTTTTTTTTTTCTGTATTAAATTATTATTATTTATTTATTCGAGTAACATTACGATCAATTTCCTAAAACAAAGAAATTAATTTAATATAGTAGAGTTTATTTGACATAAATAATTTTAGTGCATTAGGTTGTAATTAAGATTAAGAGTCCACAGTCAACCATGAATAAATACATAAACAAGTGAAAATTTGTTCAGAATAGTTTACTTGTAGACAACCCTAAGTATTATACAATTATCTCATATAATATGATATTATATTTTAAAAATATGTCACGTAATTTCCGTTATTTATTTGACTTTGATTAATACGTCAATATCTTTAATACTAATACTTTATAAAAATGGAGTATTAATATATTGAATTAGATGTAGTGATTGAGTAAAAGTATGCACTAGATTTAGGTACTTCAATTCTTAACTTAACGTTTTATTTTTCTACCTCCATTAATACACACTTTTTTCTATTTTATTTTTAAACTTTTTAGAAGGTTGATTTTCTTATGAATAATTGTATGGGCAGAAATATTAGGTTTTATTTGTGAAGAATAAGATATGAAATATCAATATTTGAAACATCTTAATTATCTTAATAAGGGAATGCATTTTTTTTTTATTAAGATTAATTTTGTAATAATTTGAGGTCATTACTAGTAGGTATTGTTAGTTTTTACTGGTTACGTATATAGTTGTCAGTCGAACAATTTAAAAACGTGTTAGGGAGAGATTTTAACACTCTTTTATTTTTCATTTTCAATTAATTAATTAAACACAAAGTATATATAATATAATTTATAAGGATGTTTTATTTGAGTAAATAAATATTAGATATAAAATTAAAAGTGATACCTTTAATTTAAACTTCCTTTTGTTTATGATTTGAAAACTTTTTTTTCTAAAAAAAAAAAAAAAAAAAAAAAAAGGAGCAAGTTCTTCCATTTCTGGGTTCATTTTCCTTGGATTTGGATATGATGCATAAGCTTAATTGAAACAGAGTCGTCCGGACGACTATGATGAATGAAAAAGAAGATGAGTAGCGACCGCAAGCCTGCCCTGCTTTTTTATTTACCTTTTTCCCCCTAAAAAAGGACACACAGATTTGACAAACACCCAACTAATTAACATCCTAAGCTCATATTTAGATTTTGCAACTCCACAACAATAACAAGATTCACTCTTGCCAGCAACTTTCCATTTCCAGGCAGACAGGCCAAATTGGTTCTCTGAAACTGAGATTACATAACATCGTGGCCTTCTCCACCCATGGCGGAGTTAACCCTCCTGCAGTTTTTTCTGATTTCCCCACGGCTGCCAGTCAAAGGCTTGATGTTGCCCATGTTGATCATGGACTGGCGGAACTCCTTGAAGAAGGTGCCCTCTCTGGCCGCGAAGCTGTTCACAATGGCGATGGTGTCCGCCCCAGCAGTGGAGAACAGCTCTTGATCGCTCTGCAGAAGCCCCTTCCCCGCTTGAAGGTTGGTGTAGTAGTTTTTGTCGAACACGTCCGGTGTTGTCGGGTCGAAATTTGCTCTCGTGTCTGGACCTGCAGAACAAACCCCTTGAAGGAATCCTCTGTAGTTAGCGTCCAGTGATGGATCTGGCCTTCCGGTATTGTTGAAATTGGCAAATCGGTGGCTGAAGAATCTGCATCTCGATCGACCAAACGTATGCGCTCCTGATTTAACCAATTCATAAAATCACCATCAGTTCAAAATAGTTGGTGCCTAGGGGGTTAATTATTGGATGAGTGAAAGATTGATCGACTAAATTAATTACCAGATAAAGCCACGAGATCAGTGGTTCCGAGGCCAACATCAGAAAATTTCTTTTTGAGTTGGACGAGAGTTTCGAAGGGACTGGCCAGGCCACTATCAGCCCCTGTTTTGTTCGCTATTCTACTGTCTCGTCTTCCGTATAACACTCTCCAACTAGGCCCTCCTTGCTGAAAAGGGGGAAAAAGACACCAATTTTCTTATTGGGTCAAAAAACAAGATACCCAAACATAAGGAGTGAATGTAGGTATTGGAAATTGAACTCGGAATGAACATATTACCACATCGACAGAATCCTTAGAAGCCTGAGCTAGGATGTCGGCACAGGAAACGGTATTGGGGCATTCACTCTCCACGGCGGCTTTAATGGCGTCGACAATCTCGAGTCCTTGAATTCCCTGATTTCCGGGGGAGTTCAGCTCACTGACTATGCCGGGAGCATCCTCTAGCAAAACAGAGCCGTCACAGCCCTGCAAAATCAGCCAACAAATCAAGTCAGATGAGGAAAAATAAAAATAACCAAGTAGGGAGACACACACGCACAAAAGAAAAAAAAAAAAAAAAAAAAAAGTGATTACATTGACGAAGCAATCGTGGAAATGGAGGCGGATGAGTTTTGCACCGGCACGGATGTCGGTTTCGATTGCTTTCTTGACGGCGGCGCGGACAATGTTGGGGAGGCGAGGGCAAGTTCGGTCGTAAAAGGTTTCGGAGAGTTGAGCTGAGGAGGCTCCGAAGAGAAGAGCCAATAAGAAAAAGATGGGTATGGCATTGGAGGAGGCCATTTTGGAAGTTGGAGTGAGGAAAAGGTTGGGTAATGGAAGCTGTTTTTATAGACTAAAGCCGAGTACCCGGGACGTGTGTTATGCCCACGACACGGCGGCGGCTGACGCTGTATGGGTTACATGGAGGCCACTGTAATTGAAAATTTCAGCCTTATGAATCTGCATTCTTGTCAATATTCATCATTTGACTTTTTACAAATTTTAGATATTATCCTGAGTTTCTTTCACATGAACAATGAAATTACGGTTTCGTTATATGTTAGTAATTGGAAAAATAAAATAAATAACATGGAATTACGAAATTATAGAGTTACTTTTCAAAAAAAGTTGGGGATGAATCCAGAAAATTGAGTTTATTTTTCCATTAAAGGGAATGTTTGACAATTATACTCTAAAGAAATAATAATAATAATAATTTAGTAGCGTATTTTACAAGTCTAAAAATAAAATGCATTAGAGTTTGGTTTGACAGTTTTCTGGCAACTACAGAAAAAGTAATAAATAGCAATCAGAGTGGCGGGCGGTCTGGTTTCACCAGATTTGGGACCTGAATATAATCCAATTCTTCATTTATTTATTTTAATTTTACCGATACCTCTGCCTAATTTATTGTTTAAAACTAATTCAGGCGTAAATATTTATATGTTATTTTATTTTATTTGTTGGCTGAGTTTTAGATCCAATTTAATGTAACGCAGTAAGATCATTAAATAAATGGATTTGAATTTTTTAGAGTAGAATTAAAAAAAGTAAAATAAATGTAATGAGTCATATGATGGGTTGTAGGTGACCTAACCAACCTAATCTTAATAATGACCAAGTTATTCAAATTTGGAGAGTTTTTTCCTCTCTCTCTCTCTCTCTCTCTCTATTATTTTTAGAATATGCTTTTCTTCACGGAGTGGCTCACGTTTCTGCAGTCCTAGTTTGATGTTCGGATAAATAAAATAATAATTAACTTTTATTGATTTAGATTCTTTAGCAATCGATAAAATCAAGAAAAGTTAGTGTATTATATTGTAGATGAAGCGGAACTGATGGAAACTTAGTTTAATTCTTTATTGTATTGCATGTGGTGGCCATGAGACTATTCTATATTTTATATTTGTGAATACTTTATCACCCATCACGTTTTACTGTCGGAAATTACCGCTAACAAAATAGAGGAAAGCTAATTTCTTTTCTTTTTTTTCGTTAAATTATAAATGTAGCCGACGTGATAGATTTTCAAATTTTTGAAAAATTAATGAACCCACGTGGGTGGCATTGCTTAGTTCATGCACCCCCAGATGTCTTTGTTCCTTGTTTGTTTGTTTATTGTTAATATTATATATTATAAAGTAAACAATCTCAAGTTTCTATATCCTCAGGCGGCCACGTTCTTGGCCGACAGTGTTAAATTCAAACATAAAGAAAAAACAAAGCGTTAAAATATGAAAAGAAATCATACATATTATAATATAATGAAGAAAGAGATCAGGGAAAGAAAGCAAAGTGGTCCGATAATTAACACCCTTCTTTGTTGAAACGGAACTTTATTCCAATTTGGGCTGAAAGCAGATTTCATTTACTTTATTACTATTATTACTATTTTTTTGTTTTTAATTTCATTTATTATTAATGCCAAGAAATACATTATTAAAGTCAAAGCAGAAAAGTTATTTCAAAGAAATTAAAATGTGAAATCAGTTGGGGTCTCCAACTGGGATGAACCTCATAATTACTGATATTTTGTGGGAAATTCCTGCGTCCAATCCAATCCAATCCTATCCTAGCTCTAAGCACGCACTGGAAAATATTATATCCAGAACCTTCAAAAACAACCAAGGAAGTTCTGAATTTATTGTGGCACACAAGCAAGAGGCGTAAAATTACATAACATCATGCCCTGCTTCACCTCCCAACTCATTCACCCTCCTGCAGTTTCTTCTGATTTCCCCTTGGTTTCCAGTTAAGGGCCTAATGTTTCCCATCTTTATCATGGACACCCGAAATTGTCTAAAGAAGGTTCCTTCCCGGGACCCAAGACGGTTCACAATTTCAATTGTGTCGGCGCCAGGAGTGGAGAACAGCACTTGGTCACTCGTTAGAAGCCCTCGATTGGCTTGAAGGTTGGTGTAGTAGTTTTTGTCAAATGTGTCCGGTGTGGTTGGATCGAAATTCACTCGCGTCTCTCCATCTGTACAACCTCTCTCCAGCTCCTGCCTGTAGGCTGGGTCCAGTGTCGGATCTGGCTGCCCAGTTCCATTGAAGTTCGAGAAACGCCCGCTGAAGAACATGCATCTCGACCGACCGAACGTATGCGCCCCTGAATTTACAAACCCCACTACGTTAATCAATCCAAATTGGTGTTCTTCATCCTAATGCTCCAGAAAAATTACCAGATAGAGCAACAAGATCAGTGGAATCCAGCCCTACGGCTTCGAACTTCTTTTTGAGTGGCTCAAGAGTTTCGAACGGACTTGGGAGTTCGTCGGCCCCTGTTCTATTGGCTGTTCTGCTATCTCTTCTTCCGAATAAAACTCTCCAGCTGGGCCCGCCTTGCTAAAAACAGAAACCACCCCAATTTTAATATTTTCTTATTCCTGGAGTAGCAGCAGAACCCACATATACAACATTTTCTTATTAATTTTGAAGCTTGGAGTGGGAATTAGTTATTACCACGTCCACAGATTGTTTAGCGGCCAGAGCTAGGACGTCGGCGCAAGATACGACGCCGGGACATTCGCTTTCAACGGCGGCTTTGATGGCGTCGACAATCTCGAGTCCTTGGATTCCTAAATTTCCTTGTCCGTTGAGTTCACTGTCGATGCCGGGAGCATCCTCCAGCAAAACAGAGCCATCGCAGCCCTGCAAAATCAGCCCCATTGTAAGAACACGGAGACAAAATGTTAAAAGGGGAAACAAAAAAAGTAAAGGATTTGAGTAATTTGAGTAAAGAGTAAGTACTTGGACGAAGCAGTCATGGAAATGGAAGCGGATAAGCTTAGCCCCGGCACGGATGTCGGTTTCAATAGCCCTCTTGACCTCTTGGCGGACAATGTTAGGGAGACGAGGACAAGTTTGGTCGTAGAAGTTCTCGGTGAGTTGGGCACAAGAGGCTCCAAATAAAAGAGCCAGAAAGAAGAGCAAGCCCATTTTTTGTTTTTTGGAGGAGATGGGTTTGGATTGGTAATGAAACGCAACACAAATGGAGCGTGGTTTTATAGACAAGATCGAAGATAGTTTTGTGAGAGTGCATTACTTTCTTAATTAATCATAATTTTGAATGAACAGAAGTAAAGCAGGAAAAGGAAAAGGAAAAGGAGTTTGGATTCGGGATGAGTGACCATGGAAACTGGATGACCAACCTCACACAATCTTGAACCCCAAGTTTGAATGCGTTGTTTTGTTTTTTTGAAAGTTTTGCAAGAAGAGAAGCATATTCTGGAGTCCCCACCCACGTGACAAGAACCATGAACTAGAAGGCCGCCTCAGGATTTAGTCCTATTTATTAACAATGAATAGTTGGGGATGGGAGTACCAGAGTCCTTGTTGGGTGGTCCCCACCTCGGGTTTCCAATTCCTCGTCAATAACCTAAAATATGAACTACAATCAACTAGGCGACGCCTTATCTTTTATTTCCGGGCAACCCGACAAATAATAATAATAATAATAAATAATTGCAATCCCGCTTTTATTTTTCACAAAACTACATTACACCAAATCTAAAGATGCCTTTTACATTAAATCAAACTAACCATAATGAAATAAAGTAGTAACAATTAAACTGGAGGTTGATGCTTTGAGTATCATCTCGGCTTCATTTAATTTTGATTACATAGTTTTAATTTGAAGTTTGCATTTGGTCCGGCTTTTAATACCAAGCCTCTGATATTCCAACACAAAACACAAGTGTCATTATTGGTTAAATATATATCGTAAGTTTTCGTTTGAATTATTTCCTAGACTGACTTGGCGTAGGCTCATTTAATAAAATCTCGCTGGGTCCTTTTCTTTATATATTTATTTATTTATTTATTGATCTTGAGCCCTGGCCATCGCTATCCGAATAATTGAAGACAAGCCTAGGGGGGCTGCTTTGTGCTGCCTGTTGGGTTGGGTAAGGTTGGGAGTGGGGCCGCCAATCGCAAACGTTTCAAATTTGGACGCGGACCCATTTACTTTACTAATTATATCACTTTCCACAACTCCTCCTTCAACCATCGTAGTATTGCTTACCATTATAACTAAGACTAAGAGTTTTTTATTTCTCAAACTTTAATCTTTAAATTTAGTTTAATTATTCTTAAGGTTTTAAGTTTTAAATGTAACGCCTTTAAGAATGATTTTAACAGATGAACTTTAGTTAAATAGTATTGCTTTTCAAAGGTATAAATTCAAATATATGATATTTTAATTTAAAATATATGATGTTTTTAAATGTCACGCTTCTCCAACTCATGTGTCATCTCACAGTCCACTCTCCTTCGGGCCTAGCTTACTCGCCGACACTCGTTTCCTTCTCCAATTAATGTGGGACCCCTCCAATCCACTCCCTTCGCAGCCCAACGTCCTTCCTGACACACCGCTTCGTGTCCACCAACTTTCGGGGATTAGTCTCTTCGCTGGCACATCTCCCGTGTCTGGGCTCTAATACCATTTGTAATAGTCCAAGCTCACCACTAGCGAATATTGTTCTTTCTTGGCCTTTCCTTTCGAGATTTTCCTCAAAGTTTTTAAAATAGGTTTATGTAGTGTCATAAAGAAGGTTAGTTATCCCTCCCACTCCCACTCCCACTCCCACTCTAAGTAGATCTTACCAATTATAATTAGTTTATGATGGGTCGATAGTAATTAAATTGATACATGAGTCATGAGTGGGCAATAGAGATATGTGTTAATACTTTTGTGAGAAACTAAACTTAGAAGTTAAACCACGATCCTTTCCAGTTTGGACACACACGACAACAGAAATAAAAAAAAAACCAAGTGGAAGCTTTATTCTTAGGGACACACAAAATCTAAGACGAGGAACATCAAGTTACATAATGTCATAGGCCTTCACCGGGTTGACCCTCCTACAGTTTTGTCTGATTTCTGATCTGATGCCGGGGGGCGGCTTCAGATTCCCCATTTTGATCATGGATTTCACAAATTGGGTAAAGAAGGCAACCTCGTTAGCGGCGAAATCTTTTACGATGGCCGTGGTATCAGCCCTGGGGGTGGAGAACAGCTCTTGGTCACTTTGGAGAAGCCCCTTCAGGTTTATGAGATTGGTATAGTAGGCTTTGTCGAATTTGGTTGGCGTTATGGGGTCAAAATTCACTCGTGCTTGTTGGGTCGTACAGAGCCGTCGAAGCTGCTCCCTGTAAACCGGGTTTAGCGTTGGGTCGGGTCTTCCGGTGTTGTTGAAGTTGTCGAAGCGGCCGGTGAAGAAAAAACATCTCGCTCGCCCGAACGTGTGTGCTCCTGATAGAGCCACAAGATCCGTAGAATCAAGCCCTTGTGCCGCAAACTTGCTTTTAAGCCCGACCAGAGTTTCGGAGGGACCAGGAAGGTTTGAGGTTCCGGTTCTATTGGCTATCCTGCTGTCTTTTCTTCCCAGTGGAACTACCCAAATTGGCCCTCCCGACTGCAATCAATTATTATTACCATACCGTAAGTTAGCATTAATTAACCACAAAGACACCACCGGTAAGTATTGATTAATTACCAAGAAAACAGAGATTTGTGAGGAAATGGCTAAGATGTCGGCGCAGGAAACAACGCCTGGGCAAGCGCTTTCAACCGCTGATTTAATGTTGTCCACGATGTCCAGCCCTTGGATCCCACCGTTTGGTGGTCCGTTTAATTCGCTATCGATGACGCCCGGCACGTCCTCCAATAGCACAGACCCATCACACCCCTGCACACAACCAAACAAATCCATATATATCATCCCATGCATGTATTCAATTCAAGGTAGAAATGTAAAATTAAATTACATTGACGAAGCAATCATGAAAGTGGAGGCGAATGAGCTTGGCAGCTGCTCGGTCGTCAGTTTGTAGAGCTTGGGCAACCACGTTGGCAACAACGAAAGGCAGCTGAGGGCATGTTTTGGCGTGGAAGAAAGGGCTAAGGTGGGCGTGAGAAGCTCGTAGCATCAAAGCCGCCACAACAAGGAAGGGTGCGAGTTTAGGGGGAGCCATGTCTGAGAAGAAGTGGGTTTTGGGTTTGTGAAGAAGTTGTGCGATGGGATGTTGGCTTTTATACACACCCATGACCTTCTAATACATACAAGTTGCGATTAATAATAAACCAACTATACCGCATTAAATATCAAATTTTGAACTTAAATGGGTTCGGTATTTGGGTTATACTCATCTATCTCTCCCTTATATTATTTCTGAATTCATATACTTTATGGACATCACATGACATTGTGCACATATCAGCGTTCATATACTTCAAATTACAAGCTTGGCGTGTGATTTACATTTATATAGACCCAAATTTATGTTTTTTTTTTCCTTCAATTTTATAAAAAAAACACCCTTATCCACACGAGAAGACTTCGGTGCTTATATTTTATAAAAATAAAAATTTGGGAATTTCGAATAAACTATAGCATATTATTGATAGTTAAAATAAAAATTGAAGAGTGTCGCAATCAAATGTTCCGGATATAGGAGTGTATGACCGATCACCAAAATCATGTCCCAAAATGTATTAGGGAATATAACTAGTTGTCAATTCTTTCTATCCGGGTTATATGCTGTTAAAGCCGTTGTTGTTGCCCACTTGCTTTTAGCTTATAGCATTGTTTTTTATAAAAAAAAAAATTATTTTCAACGTATTTCTTCGCTCACCGTTTCTAAACATATCTCTCTCAAACGTGAAGTTACTATGGGAGAGAGAGCGTGGAAGAAAGGTGAAGGTGAAGATTGCCCCGACAGATCCAAGAAGGTGCACAGGTTGCTTCTTTTTCCCACTAATTTTTTTAAAAAAATATTTTAGTTTGTTAGTTTTCAATTTATTTTAATATGATATGTTCAAACAATTTAATTTAACTTAATATATTTCGTCTCCATTACAAATTTGACTTTCATAATTTAGTGTAATTTTAATTTCATTTCATACGTATCAAATTTACTATTAATTTCATGATTTAAATTTATTTTAAATTTGAGTTCAAATTATAAGAATAAATTCGGACTTTTAAATTTATTAGACAAAATTTATAATCTAACTAATGTTATATATTGATCTTTCAATTATTATTTATAATAACGTGGTTTGTCATTCAAATACATCACCATGATATAAATATTATCCTTCATTTTTAAAATATAAAAAATATTAAGAATTACAGTAATGTTTATCCATATTAGAATTGTTTAAACAAGATGGTAGTTAGTTGGAGTGGATTGATATATATATATATTTATTGTTATAAATAATTAAATAGATGAAAATTTTACTTAAAAATACATCAATACAAAGATTACATTTGTACATGATACATACATCCTTAAATTTTTGAAACACATGAATCGTTTGGGGATCTAATTTCTTGAAAGTCATAAACTTACATGGAGATGGAGAACATGCGCCTACAATTTAACCTAATTTCTCCGGCGGGTGCAATTAAAGGTTCAAGCTTCCCCATCTTTATCGTAGACTCACCGAACTGAGCAAAGAAGTCAGACTGATTGGTGGCAAAACGGTTGACGGCGGCGATGGTTTCGGCCCACTCGGTGGAGAAGAGCTCTTGATCAGATTGGAGAAGACCTCGATTGCCGACCAAATCGGTGTGATATGCGTTGTCGAAATCGTCCGGCGAGGCGACGTCAAGTGCGATACGGTTGTTTCCGTCGCCGGTGGGACAAGCGATGATGAGTGCGTCCCGATATGTGGGGTCAAGGGTTGGGTCGGGACTTGCAGTGCCATTGAAATTACATAGCCGCCCGCTGAAGAATACGCATGTTGACCTACCGAACGTATGCGCTCCTAGTTTTTATAACGGACAACCTCAATAATCAATATACTTCGTAATAAGGCTCTTTATGTACAACAAAATTTTGGGCGTCCTCCTCTGTTGACCAATTTTTCATTTTCATCATTTATTTTCTTTAAAAAGAAATATTTATTTGGATAGTTGGCAATTATTGTTCAAAAATGAAATAATTTGCATAAATTTATACCCTTAACCTATTCAATTGATGAAAATAAGGAAATAAAAGGATGATAAATTTGTCTTCTTGTTGTGCTTACCAATTCCGTTCCACAGGTGAACTTATCATCCTTATTTTTTCATTCTAAGTTAAATAAAATCTGAAGCAATAAATTAACAGTCTTACATAACACTTCTAAATATATTATGTAATGTTAAATAATGTTACACTTTATTATTGGACATCAACCACACTTTAGGGTATGTGTGTTCTAAAATTATAAATATGAATATGATTTGCCACATAATTTAGAAACCAACCTTGGACAAATGAATATTAGATAGAAAATAATATTATTTTTACTTTTAAAAAGTTCAAAAATTACATAGGTTCAAAATGAGAGTGTATTAGGACCAAAATATTGGAAAGTTTAAGATTGAAATCATATTAAAAAATTAATGGCTGTGTTTTATGCTTAATTTGGCTCTACTAAATTAAGAGTCAATTGCCTAGAAATGTGTATATGCATCATTTGACAATGATATGATATCCACCCAATTGTTTAGCAATTGGTCCTATAATTACCTTAATGATTTCTATCTTCATCGTTATTTTATACTAATCTTTTCTAAAATATATTATTTTTTAGTTAAATAAATAAAAGAGCAAAACTGCAGAAGGTCGGTGTGAACTTGAATAAAAACAAATACCTAGTTGGTCTGAACTTTTGATTCATTCATTTTATAATAATTACAAAAAATGGCTGAATTAAATTGCAGAAAACCATACATTAATACCTAACCTAAGTTTGTCAGTTCTACTAAAGTAATTGAATCATGTCTGCTGGCCAAAATATTAAAACAAATGAAACATTTTGGATTACTCATGGAACTGCTCCCTTTGAAATTAAACATGAGTGGATTGACCTTATTTATTTATTTTAATGTCATACAACTTTGTTCTTACTCTACCTCTCTTCTTCGGTTAGTATACTTAAAACGTGTAAATTGATTTCAAGGAGTGAAAATTAAAGTGGGTAATCTTACTTGTAGGTGCCCAATATTTGCTACCATTGAGCGGGAGAATCCTTTTGTGGTGCTGTGATGTCCCACATTGATTGGAGAGGAGAACAAATCATCATTTAAAGCTTTGAGAGAAAGCCCGAAAAGGAAAGCTTAAAGAGGACAATATCAACTAGCGGTGGATCTGAGTCGTTACAGGAGCTCCAGCATCGCTTGAGAATAGAATTTGGGTTGAGCAAGTTTTTGTGGTAACGGTTGTCATATAAATCAGTAGAGTTTCTGTCGATAACAGTGGACTTTGTTTGTTGCCGTCGTCGATGAGAGGCCATAAAGCATGCAGAACCAAGGATCGAACACAAAAGCCTTGAGAGTTGAACTAAAGAAGAAGCAGAGTTGATTAAGAAACATCAGCCGTTCCCAACGAGAAAGATTCTAATGAAAACATCACTCAGAAATATGTAACAAGAAGCTGCAACACTGACGATAGAATTCCAAGAAAACGCCTCTTCAGGGAAGTGGCTTACATTTACAAAAAATTAATCACTTATGCAACCACTTCTCTCGAAGGAAGTGGCTTCCATTTACACAACACTAGCCACTTATGCAAGCACTTCTCTCAAAGTAGGCCTATAGTTAACAACAGTCATTTCCCGACACAGAATTCTCCGTTGATTCTTCACACCCTTCCTTTACATCTATAACTCTATTCTGCTCTTCTTCGTCATTGGCCACGGTTTTGTTTACAATCCCTGAATCCGAGTGCAAAGCATTACCCAATTTTTCATCCATGTCCTCGCATTCATTTACCTTCCCCGAAACAAGTTCAACCTTCATTTTTTCATCTTTTGCTACACTGACTTCCGGAAGGTGTTCATCTGATTTCTTCACCATTTCATCATTCACCGTCAATTTCTCATCAACCACTTTCCCTTTTGAAAAATCTTCCCCTACACATTTTTCCCCACCCTCAATCTCTAAGACTTCTTCATCGTCCTCCTTAGAATCAATATCAACATCTTGGTTTGGTGTAATTTCAGATACATACTCCATCTCCAACCCCCCATCACTTTCATTCTCAGATACGTTCTCCACTACCTCCTCATTCACATCGTCAATAGCTGGGTTTTGTCCTTCAAGAAGTTGCAACTTCCTCCTCAAGTCAACAAGCTCTCTCTCCATAAGAAAAAGTCTCTCCTTCAGTGTCAAGTTCTCCTCCTCCAACTGAGCTATATGGCTATCCTGATCATCGACCCTATTTTCCAAACAGTTATTATACTCTACTCCATAGTTCTGGTATATCATTTCAAATCGACTCAAGTCATGGTCCAATCTACGTTCTACCTCCAGATGTTCCTCTACATCACTATCACTCGACACGCCACCACCGTCCTCTTCCTCCTCCTCCTGCACTTCCACCTTATTCTCAGACCCTCGAAGCCTTATCAACCCTTTCATTGATCCATAACCATCAACACCCCATTCCTCCTTGGCCATATCACCCAACGCCTCCCTTGAAGGGGAGAACATTGGAGTAGGAAGCACAGTTGGTGTTACGGGACTAGGGGACACAAGCGAAGCGATCCCACCAGACTTCTTTGCACGAATTATAAAAGACGTGGTATTTCGAGGCGCATAAGGTGCAAACCTGTTACCAAACTTCTTTTTTGAGTAAAATTTTCGAGCTCTTATACGATTTTGAGACTGCAGCTCTTGAAGACTTGGAGGTTGATATCCTCCAGCATTATTTGGACCACTTATGGAACCCGGTAAAGGTTTTTCCATTCTCCTATTGTTCATCCTTTTGTCACTAACGCCTTTTCCCTTCCAATTGCCTCGCCCTGACCTCAATTGTTTCATATTTCCATAGTTAGGCTTAGGGAAGTTGCGGTACTTCTTGTTAGTATCCAAAGGGGCCTGCGGGTGTGCCCATACCTTATAATTGCTACTCATCATAGGCGGCAGAGAGTGACCCATGATCATTTGGGACTGCTGCATGGCCTGAGGCTGCGGCAAAATATTTGCCTGGTTGATGGCCTGAGACTGAGACATTATCTGAGAATGGTTCATTAGCTGGCTTTGGTTCAGAAACTGAGGTTGATTAATGACCTGTGGCTGGTTCATGACTTGAGACTGATTGATTACGTGAGGATGGTTTGCCATCTGCGGATGGCTCATACTAATCATTTCTGCATCATATCTTAAATGAAGATTTGTGATCTTCGGTCTATCCTGTAAAAAAAAATGGTAAGGCAGTTAGGACATCGTTTTGCATGACTTTCTCTAAGAAAAAAATGTTTCAGTTATCATTAAAATTTTATTTCCTTTTTCTTTTCATATTTGCTACGGTTTAAATTAGTTTTTCCTTAAAAAATCATGGATTTACTTTTAAACAAGTTGGAACTGGTGATTTTAGAATTCCAAGTCATTCAACTATAATTCTTAAAACAATTCTCAAGAGAAAAGCATGAATTTGTTTATCATCAAACAAACAACTCAAAATAGTACCTGCTCATCGTCCTCTCCCATGGGTAAATGGGTAAACAATTTCAGATACAATCAAAAGAAGCAGAACAATCTGAAATCAAGAGAAGGCAATTAAAAAGTTAAACCATATAATTTGACATAAACTACTCCACATACAAAAATATACAAGAAATTACCAAATGAAAATAAAAAGTAACAAACAGGACAAGAGGGCAAAATAGAAGAAACAAACTCCAAAGTGGTTGTTCTAAATAGAGAAAATTTAACCGAGGGTTTGAAATGGGGAAGGAGAGGATTTTAGAGAGAGGATCAGCGTTCCAACCCTTGCAGATAACAGAGAGCAAAGGAGACACGAGGATTGTTAAAACATGTGCCATTACCTCCTCTGTTCTAAGCTCTCACTTGGTAATCAGCACATTAGGAAGTGGTTTTCCTGTCAATTGAACTAGAGCACCTCTCTAGTTTCAAAGGCCACCTTACGCATACTAAGTAGCGAAATTAAATATTTAGTAAAAAAAATTGCTCTCCCAACACTTGAATTTTTTAAAAATTTTATTGATATGAAGATTTTATTTTTTTTAACCTGATCGGTGTAGTTTGAGCTACAATTGTTTAGCCACCAAAATATCACTTCGAAGAAGTAAACACTCCGTTTTGATCATCACATGTAAGAGCAAATATATCTACAATGGATAGTTAAAAATACGACCTACTTACATTTGGTTCTTCAAATACCCACTAACAAAGCTAAAATTTCTTAGCTTCCTATTTTCGGTAAGAAGTGGTGCTACTGAAGTCTTCTCTCTCAAAAAAAAAAAAAAAAAAAAATTGCAACAAAGAAGTTGTGGGTTCCGCAACTTATCACAATTTGAAATATGAAACAATATAATTGTTAACCATAATTTGACAGAAATTGAAGGTTTGAGCTATATTGTTCAAGACAGAGGGAGAGAGAGAGAGAGATTTATGATAAACCGAACTAACTGACCATACATCATTTTGGTCTCTAGATTCTTCCCGCTTATTTGTGAAATCCCAATCAAGAGACTTGCCCTCTTCTTGAATAAGGAGCTTTTTGCAGCTTTATGGAAGTCCAAAAGTACAAAGAGAATCAATATACTTTTGTGGATTATTATAAACAGTAGTCTACTTCTATTCAAAGGAATCTTCCATTCAACTATCTCATGCTTTCGGTTTGCTCTCTTTGTTGGTTGGATGGTGATGGTCTTAATCAGGTATTATTCAGATGTTCTTATCCTCTGCTCGACACCTGTGGCTTTCTTGAAAGCGAAAACTAAAAAACATCTACACTGAGATTATTTTGGAAACAAAAATCAAAAGGTCATCTGAAAATTTTGAGCTTGGGGGGATCTTCACATTTTCTAGCATAAAAAACCTTTAGAGCTTGATTTACAGCGACAGTGTAATTATTTGAGGGTTGGTGGCAATTATATTTGTGAGGCAAAAAGTGAAGGAGAAGAGTAAATGCTATGATTAGAAGTAGCAGTAAAGCTGAAATGTAAGAACGCCGTTTTAAATATGTTTTATTTGATAGAACGATCTTGAAACCAGTCCACTTGGAGTGTGGATAAGGAACATAATCACTGAAGGATTTAGAAAAAGACATTAAAGTTGGGCCAAATTGAGATCGGAAGAGGACTGAAAAAGGAATTTGGAAACTTAAATTGCCACTAGTTTCTCTCAAACTCTGTCTAATCTGATTAGAATAAACTTTGAAATAAATAGCAGATTCAAGTTCTAAGGGGAGAACAAAATCCACTAATTAATTGATCAATCGATGAACTGGATATTATGTAGGAAGATGTCGAAAGTAACTAGGAGTGGACTGAGAGAATCTACCGATCTCACACTGGCGGAAGAGGAATAAAGTAAAAAATATGGCAAGGAAAAAAGGAGGAGAAAGAAAAAGAAGTACCAAAGAAAAATACAGTCGATCCACACATAGTTCAATAAGCCAGAAATCAGAACCGAACAAAAAACAAAATCAGGCAAAAAACAATCAAAATCAGAAATGCAAGATGAACTATATTAAGCGACTAAAGAAAGAGAAAACCTGTTAAAGCAAACCTAGTTGATTACGAACCTTGGACCAGCAAGAAACGGTGGCCGGAAACGCGTCGGGAGTGGAATGTCCTTGAAGATGATGGTGAGAAGGAAACGATCTAGGGCTGAGAATTGTGTTCTTAAGTTGGGGGCAATTTTGGTATTTTGAGAGGTGAATAGAGCTTGAGAGACCGCGTCTAGGCAAAGAAAGGGCGCGCGTGTAAACTAAATTTAGGGGCAATTTTAGGGGTAATTTTGGTATTTTGTCTCAATCGTCGGTTTGTAGCGGTTGAGATAGAAGAAAGGGCTCAGCTGGGCGCGCGAGGTTTACAGCGTCAAAGATACCAACCACAACCAAAGTACCAAGTTTTGAGAAAATTTCTACTACTGAATGTATGTATATCTAAAAAATTAATAATAATTACGTGTCAAATGCGGAATTAAAAAATATATATACTATCATGTCTTAATTATTTTTGGATTTTTTTAAGGACAAGATTTCAACCCAAATTATCTCCTCTCTTCCAAAGAGGAAAAAAAAAGGTCAAGTCTCGCTCTAGCAATAGTGGTCCACGTGTCTGAACGCAATTGATCCACCTCAGCAAATGCAAATCGATAATCAGTCGCTTAACACTGCCACCACTACCACTCAGCTTCTTCTCCAAAGATAACCAAAAATCTGAGCCGCAATTCAGGTTGCTCTGTTCTTGCCTTCCAGCCAAATGGCTCTTAAGGCTAATGCCATAGCGCCGACATATCTTCACCGGTCATTTTTCACTCCCCAAGCTCCATCTCTCCCTCCGATCAAACGGTACCATCGCTATAACACACATATTCGTCTCCGTTGCCGATCTTCTCTTGTCGATGAGCAGCAGAAAGAAGTCGTTTCGTTTTCTGAACCCGAAAACTCTCTCATTGAGGCTCTCATTGGTGTCCAAGGTCGAGGCCGTGCTGTTTCTTCTCAGCAGCTCAGCGTAATCTTTGTGCCCTTCTCTTCATTCTTTTTTGCGGTGTTTATTTCAGTCCAGATTCAGAGTTTGAACTTCTTTTAACCTACTGATTTCTTCAGAATGTCGAGCGGGCCGTGAGTGTTCTGGAAGGTTTGGAAGGCGTGCGAGATCCGGTAATCCGGTTGGCTTTCCCTATCACTTCTCAACAGTTTTGTTATTAACTGCACAATCAACAGTACTGTCAACTGATTTTCTTTGTTTCAGCCATGTTTAAACAGTCTTACTTGATAGGAATGACGACACTTTACACTCGTTGATTTTCTCAACTTTAAACATAAATTCTCAATTTTATGCTCATCTTTTTACTTTTTGATTTTTCTAAAAGGTCTGGTAATTAGTCAATTTAAGACTCCAACAAAGCTACACAATTTAGTCTCCTTTCAAGACTTCTTCCAAGCCTCCTTGACGACCCCTTTTAAGAACCCTTCAGCAAAGTACATAATTAAGCCTCCTCTTAAAAAATCATTTATCTGTCTAGCATTATTTGGACAACTCTATTCTTGAGAGAATATTGCTAGTCCAATAGGACTTTGCCACGAATCTTTCTTATGACTACACCTTCAAAGCTCACAACTTCCTTGTTCAAACACCTAAATCCCTATGATTATACTTACGAGGCTCACAACTTCTTTATTCAGACACCTGAGCCACTATGACTACACCTTCGAAACTCACAACTTCTTTACTTGGCACTTGAGTATTCTACTGACATGACTAAGTGAAGATAAGGGCATGCCTCTGGTACAACTGATAAGGGCATGCCTCTAGTGCCACTGATAGGAACATCGACCCTCCGTACTAATATGTAATTGTCCACTTTGAGCATAACCTTTCATGATTTTACTTTTGGACTTTGAACATAACCTTTCATGATTTTACTTTTGGTTTTCTCACAAACGAATGAATCCATGTCTGTATACCCATGATCCTCAAACACTACAAGTATACTGCGTAAATAATTCTGTGGGAGATGATCATTGTATTGGTAAGTATTGCTTGTATACTCTCCAATTTTGAATCTCTCTTGAGCTCTGGAATAGAAAGGAACTAGCTTTCATAGTGGAAGTAGAAATATCTATACATGGTATTCAAAACTATAGTTCCTTGGTATCTTTGATTACTTTCAGTCACTACTTTGACGGGTTTAATCATTCAAGCTTGTTAGTTCACAAATCACTATCCATGTTCTCGAAGTTTCAGCAGCGGAAAGAGATGGTGGAGACAGACTTGTAAGGAGATCAAGAAGCAGAGAACTAATAATGGGCTAGTGTATTTGAATCATCAATTCAATTATCCTTCAGTTTTGAAGTAATTGTCTGAAACTTACGAGAAAAGTGTCCCTAGAAATGGTTGGACAGAAAGAAACCAGGAAACTTCTTGTAGAGTAAGCTGCAAATCCACCAGAAAATTAAAGCAGAGGTGACAACATCACATGCATTTTACAGGTTCCCTCCAACAGCATTGCAGTCCATGGTATCTGAAAAACAGGAACGCCTGCTGATCTTAGGAATCTAAAAGTGCTCGGAAGTGTTTCTTATGCAAACATCGTGGGGGAACAGTAGAGATTGAATTTGCTAGACGTGCGACTTTTGGACAAGAGCACATCGGTGTCTTGGAAAGTACTGGGATTGCTTATGACAAATGAAAGGCGCACTTACTACCTATAGCGGGGAAATGCATGTTTTTAGGTTAGGCTATCTTGAAGGAGTGGAAGGCTATTAATTCTGGTTCTAAAAGTGAACCTCTTCAAAATGCATAAAATGCCACCATGCAGAGAAACTAAAATGTATGTGAAAAATACTCATCCAAAAGAGGGTCTACCTGGAAGAAAGAAGCGTATCATGAGAGGACCAAACGTTTTAGTTTCTCTGTGAAAGGTTGCGTTAATTTCTGAGATACATGCAATGGGTAAACTCTGATTACTAATCTCCAGTACTAAGTCTCAGAAAGGCCCAGACTAGATAAAGGTTACTAATTTCCAGCTTTTCTGACTTTGTCGGTAAGTCCAGCAGTCCCTTCCTTGAAAGGTAATGAGTGAAGACAAAATGGTCTGTAGATGAAGATTTGTGGGAGCTAGTGATAGCCCTTCGTTAGTTTCTTTTCCACATCCCCTTCTGTTATCTGGTCAAGGGAGTGTTATTAGTTTTTTAGTTAATTGGTGGGTAAGAAAGGGAACTATAGGTAGAAGGGCAGGGTGACTGACTATTACCTCCCTCTGTTAAATACCCTCTCGTTTGAGCTTTGGAATATGAAGGAATTGGCTTTCATGGCGGATGTTGGAGTATCTCTGATACTTGAACCCCCATAATGCCTGGCGTTCTTATTACGCTCTGGTTACATCTTCACTCGGCATATTCTACAAGTTTATTTGTATGTCAGTACAGTCTTCTTAAGAAATTCGTATGCTTCAAAGTCCTGTTTTAATTAGTCAATGTTAAAGCAGCAACTTGTAACATTATGTGGTAATCCGGAGATTTCTGTCCGCCATATAGAGATTTAGAAATTTGTCCTTGGTATTATATCTTCAACATGCATGAAAATTAATCAAGATAACTGGCCTCTATTTTGCAAGTTTTACGTTTTGTCTTTGTTAATCCTCTCCTCTCTTTCATTGCCTGCAGACGAACTCTAGCTTAATTGAAGGACGTTGGCAGCTGGTGTTCACAACTAGACCTGGAACAGCGTCCATAATACAGGTTCAATTTGAATTCTTTATAACGTGCTCCAACAATAGCAATTGCCTTCCCTCATGTTATGATCGCGTACCTAAACTATTACTAAATCATAGTTCGGAAGTTGGATTCCAAATTTCTTTCAGCATTTTGATTAAAATTAGGTGAAAAGTCTGTTGAAAACTAATCAATTAAAATATCAAATATGATTATTTCATCCATTTACTGTGACCATCTCCCTGAGCCATAGACAACGAAAAAGATGGTGATTATCTCGTCGTTGAAAAAATTAGCGCAGGACAGAAACTAAGGACTTGGAAGAAAGAAATTTTTATTGAGAATGAATAAAAACGGGCACTTTTGAAAGAAGACTCTAATCCCCACTCACTCACTTTTTTTCTAGCTTTGCTTGCTTTCCTCATATGTGGGACATTCTCCCTATCTATAAGCAAAAGATACTTAGGACCCTAGAAAGGATTTTTTTGGACCTTTCGTGAATATAAAACATCTGAGATTTTTACTTGGAGATCTATCCTGATCTAAAGGAATTCTAGAATTCTTGGAAGCCACGGAAAACAGTCCTTTAAGGTATTTGTTTACAATTTTTAAGATAAATCTTGAAAGGACTAATATATATTAAATTCTTTTAGTTAGTGTTCTTTTTTAGCAAAGGATTTTGAAAACGTTTTATTGCATTACCTCAGTCACTAATTATTAGAAATTAAGTGCAAATTCTGATAAGATTGTGCGGAACGAAGATATAATCAGTTTGCAATTAAGTGCAAACTTTGAAGCAATGATATGGACAAAAGATAGAAAATTTCTGAAATCGATTTTTTTCCTTCAGAGAACATTTGTTGGAGTTGATTTCTTCAGTGTGTTTCAAGAGATTTTTCTACGGACAAACGACCCACGGGTCTCCAACATTGTTAAATTCTCTGATGCAATCGGAGAGCTGAAAGTTGAGGTATGTTTTTATATCTTTTAGTAATCGGATGTCAATCTCAAGTATCTTGCTTTCTATTGTTATTCTCCCCTTGTAGGCGGCTGCATCAGTGAAAGATGGCAAACGCATCCTTTTCCAATTTGACAAAGCAGCATTTTCTTTCAAGTTCTTGCCTTTTAAGGTTCCATATCCTGTACCATTCAGACTTCTTGGAGATGAAGCAAAGGGCTGGTTGGACACCACATATTTATCTCCCTCTGGGAACCTCCGCATCTCAAGAGGAAACAAGGTAAATTAGTTCACTTTGCTCGGTTACTCGAACATGTCTTACATACTTGAAACTTCTCGAGTTGCTTTGGCAATTGCTAAGGACATAGAGAACCATTGTAATAGTGTAGGGCACCACGTTTGTGTTGCAAAAGCAAACGGAAGCAAGGCAAAACTTGCTGCTAGCAATTTCTGCAGGTAAACGAGTCGAAGAGGTAAGCCCACTTTCCACATACGCTCATCATAGAGTAATCAAATTCATTATACTCTCGTCCGGCTGATTTCTCGAGTACTTGAACTACTACAGGCAATTGATAAGCTCGTCTCTGAATATCGGAATGAAAATAAATTTCAACAGGAGCTTCTCGAGGGAGACTGGAATATGTTATGGAGTTCACAGGTAGTCTATGCTGTCATATTTCCGTATGCTGAACAA